TAGTTAAATGAAAATATTAAAAATTAAAACATGCATTTATTTTAAATCAAACCCGAGTTTGAGATGCAATTTGCCTGTTCCTCAGTTGTGAATCAAAAGTGACCAACTTTTAAAAATATGGCAAAACACTTAAAATAGGCAAATTTGGTGATGAATTCAAGTTCTTTTAAAAAGATTTTTGTGCAAGTGCATTATGTGAAACAAGAATTTTAAAAATGTGAGTTTGAACCAAATCAGAACACACAGGAGAGTTCATTGAAAACAATGCCTCAGTTTTAGGGGTCACTAATTTAAATATGTCCTTCATAACTTTCATGATACTTGCTCTTTTTTGTCTTTTCATTTATTCTCTCTAATTTTTCAGGTAGGGAAATCTTGTTATTTAATAAAGCCATAGGCCTTAAGTCCCTATAATAAGTGTCAGATGATATAAGAAGGGGAAATTACAGTCATCCCCCCCCCTTTTTTTTCTTCCCTAGATTACACAACTGAAAATAGATCACAACCCCTTTGCAAAAGGATTTCGGGATAATTATGACACGTAAGTAATTTTGCATGTTCCTTTTCAAATAGTTGTGGATTGGCCTTTAGGTCATGGGTGGATCATCATGTACAAGGGTTTTGGAAGTTAGAATGTGTGAGTTAATTGAGGTCTCTCTCTCTCTCTCTCTCTCTCTCTCTCTCTCTCTCTGTTGGTTCCCCTGCTCTCTGATGATCTTGTGGCTTGGTATTTGTGTGATTTGGGTCAAAGGTTTCCTCTACCTATTTTTAGCTTTCCTGGGAATTACTAAGTTGGCGGCCTCTGGGTTTGGCTGGCTGAGGAAGCTGCCCTTGTTCCTGGGTGCGGGTGTTGTATGTGGCACTGCAGATGCTCAGCTCAGATTGTCTGTGTCTGAAACGGGCAATTCTGCCTGAAAGTGCATGTGGCTCTGGCAGTTGTTACAGTCTCCTTGGCATATGTGACTTTTATTTACCCATTTCCAAGTTTTGTGTAATAGCATTTCCTATGCAAGTTTACTATGGACTGAAAAAAAAAATGTGCACCCATCACAGGCGAGTTCATGAGTAGAATTGGTTATAGTCAATTCATACTTCGGGAAGGTCTAAGATGCTGTTGCTGTGTATTATTTATAAGCTTCAAAAGACAAATAGTTCCTCATCTTTTATATCTAACCATGTGTCAATTAAATGCGTTGGTCCACCCCTTTTTTTCAGGCTTCTTACCTATCTCTCTTCTTCTAGCAAAAAGCTATTCTCTGGAGGCAGCAGTAGGTGTAAACTAAACGTCTTCTGGGGTTGTTTTGGGATTCTCACTCAGGGGCCAGTCATAGTGCTTAAGAATTCAGACAGTGTTATATAGCAAAATCTAAATCTGTATTGCAAGTTCCCCCACTTTTTCTGTCTATAGGAGAGAAGGGTACATACATCTTAGTTTCATGGCTTGGATTGAGTGTTTGGGATACAGCTCAAAAGTTGAAGCTGTTTTTGTCTAGGAATAGATTAAATGTGTAGAGGAAAAGGCAGGTGGCTGCCTCTATTCAATTTCCAGGCAGATATCCATCTTCTCTCTTGATATTTTATTTAAAAGATAGTCATTGGCATCACTGTATATAACCTTCTTATGCTTTCCTCAAAAGTAGTTCAGAGGAAGCAAGCCTCATCAATGATTCCCCAGAATAAAAACTTGGCTGCCCAAGTTCTCACAACCTGAAAAGGTGGGGCCAGCACAGTTGAAAGAATGTGGCCCAGGAGACCAGGGATACTGGAGGAGAATCCTATTGATTTTGAGCTTTTAATTCTGTTATGAACATCTGTTCCAAAGTATTTTATTTTGCACAAATCAATTCAGTAATCCCAAGTGGTTTGGGACCTGGATGGGCATCTAAACTGTATCTTTTGCAGACTGTTTTTTTTTCTTTTTAAAGTATTGTGATGGTAAACAGAGAAGATATCTGTACCTTCCTAGTTATGTTCCCTTTCTGCCTCCCTCTTTTTCTCTTATTTGAAACTGGAATTAAATTTCTAGAGGTAAATTATCGTAGTCACCAGAATGCACTTGAGCAGCCATTGCCATTCTCACCTGTCCCTCATCCTCTGTCTTGGAAAAGCCACTTCCCTTTCTTAAATCACTATATTTTTCATATATTTTTTAACTATATAAAAACATACCTTGGGCTTTTTAGGGGGATAGTGAAGAATTGAGTGGTTTATGATATTTCCTTTCCCCGCTTAATTGACTGGGCAGGTTTGATTTTGGAGAAATACAGAGAGGCACAAGAGTTCCTGGGGTACTAGGAGGTTACTTGGCCACTCACCAGGGAATCTCCTCCCCAAAGGATTAAGGTCTGACAAGACTGGGGCTTTCCTTCAAAACAGTCTGTTGACTAAAGACTAAAAGACTCATGTGTGAGCTAAATAAAAAGGGAGGCATGTGTGTATGTGTACGAGCAAACACTTCTAATCTTCATCCAATCCCCGATTCCCCTTCAATTCTAATGGGATTTCCTAGGCCCAGGGCCTAAATGTTAACTTTTATCTAAGGTAATTCCCAACAACACAAACTCTGTTTGTGATTAGGCAAGTTATTTAGCTTCCCTTTGCCTTAGTTTACTCATCAGTAAAGTGGGGTTGCAGTAAGTTAAATAAGTTATTATCTGTACATTCTACAGAAAACAGTACCTAGCACGTATATGCTGTTGTGAGGGTTAGCTATTGTAAGTGGTTCATTGCTTGGGGGAGGTTGATAACTGTACTGTAAGAGTTTGCCCTAAAGTTATTGCCAAGGGTGGATCAAAAGCTGGGGGTAGAGAAGGTCGGAGTAAAGAACATTTTCACTTTTTAAAGAGTTTTATTGATAGGGGATGATTGTTTCCAAAGAGTCATTCTCATTCCTTTGCATTGGTAGAGGTGGGAGTCAAAGGCTCACACAGGGGAAACAATAGACAAAATATACCTTCCAGCAGCAATTACCAGAGTCTCAGAAGACCAGCGAAAGCCAGTCTTTGATGATTACTACCTGGATTTATGTGCCCCCCCCTCAACCCCCGCCCCCCAAGTAGTATTCTCCCTAGGGCTGGCTTAGACTATCTAGAAAATGGAGGAGCAAAATCATCGAACAATCAAATGGACATAGGAGGTGTTAAAATGGTGAAGGGAGTGGGTACCTATTTTAAAAATTTCACTCAGAAACTCGCCACAGAGGAAAAGGCCCATTGGGCAAATGCCTCAGTCCCAGTGTACTCTGGCTCAATGTGCGTACATACTGTGGAGAAATGGGACGAAAGCCTCCTGCGGGCCCCTCTGGAGTCCCCTGTGCCCTTAGCAGGGGAGAGAAGGGGAAGAGGAAAGCCTTCCTCTAGGTGCTCTACGTCCTGCTTAGGTTTCTGCATAGACAAACGGCCTCCTTATAAACCCAAGACTTATTTTGGGGAGGATGTAGGTCCTGTGACCTTCTGTTGCATCCATTCTGTATGGCAAGGGCAAATTACAGACGGAAAGTGTGGAGGTGGGCGAAAAGTGGAGGTATCCTTCCCTTCAGCACCCTAAAGGGACCTCCGCGCCACCCGTCGGTTCTCTCTTTCTCCCTTCCCCCGCAGGATCTACACGGGCTGCGACATGGACCGCCTGACCCCGTCGCCCAACGACTCTCCGCGCTCGCAGATTGTGCCCGGCGCTCGCTACGCCATGGCCGGCTCTTTCCTGCAAGACCAGTTCGTGAGCAACTACGCCAAGGCCCGTTTCCACCCGGGTGCAGGCGCGGGCCCTGGGCCGGGGACCGACCGCAGCGTGCCACACACCAATGGGTTGCTGTCCCCGCAGCAGGCCGAGGACCCCGGCGCGCCATCGCCGCAGCGCTGGTTTGTGACGCCAGCAAACAACCGGCTAGACTTCGCGGCCTCGGCCTACGACACCGCCACGGACTTCGCGGGTAACGCGGCCACGCTGCTCTCCTACGCGGCGGCGGGCGTGAAGGCGCTGCCACTTCAGGCAGCCGGCTGCACCGGCCGCCCGCTCGGCTACTACGCCGACCCGTCGGGCTGGGGCGCACGCAGCCCCCCGCAGTACTGCGGCGCCAAATCGGGCTCTGTGCTGCCCTGCTGGCCCAACAGCGCCGCGGCTGCCGCGCGCATGGCGGGAGCCAACCCTTACCTGGGCGAGGAGGCCGAGGGCCTGGCCGCAGAGCGCTCGCCGCTTCCGCCCGGGACCGCCGAGGACGCCAAGCCCAAGGACCTGTCCGACTCCAGCTGGATCGAGACGCCCTCCTCCATCAAGTCCATCGATTCGAGCGACTCGGGGATTTACGAGCAGGCCAAGAGGAGGCGGATTTCGCCAGCAGACACGCCGGTGTCCGAAAGCTCGTCCCCACTCAAGAGCGAGGTGCTGGCCCAGCGGGACTGCGAGAAGAACTGTGCCAAGGACATAGGCGGCTACTACGGCTTCTACTCGCACAGCTAGGCCGCCCCTGCCTGCTTAGGGCCCGCGCGCCGCCGCGGCCCTACCCCGCAGCCAGCCCCTCACAGCTCTTCCCCAGTTCCTCTTTCCCAGGCCCTACTTTGAGTGCCCTCTCATTTTACCTGACCCTCGATGACCGTCTGCAGCGAATAAGTGCAGGTCTCCCACTATGATTTAACCCTACCCCCCCTTTTATTTGCACAGCCGTCTCTGCAATTAGAGCACCGACCTTCAACTTTGCTGTAAACCTTTTGGTTTTCCAACTTCATCTCCTTCTATGAAGTTATCCTTCTAATAATCCTCCTCCCCTTCGTCTCTCTCTCACCTCCTCCTTCTTTTTCTTGTAATGAAACTCTTCACCTTTAGGAGACCTGGGCAATCCAGTCAGGCAGAATCGATTCCGACTCGCCATGTCTCGGCCTCCCCATTAACCATAGGATGTTGACTCTAGAACCTGGACCCACCCAGCGCGTCCTTTCTTATCCCCGAGTGGATGGATGGATGGATGGATGGTAGGGATGTTAATAATTGTAGTGGAACAAAGCCTGTGAAATGATTGTACATAGTGTTAATTTATTGTAACGAATGGCTAGTTTTTATTCTCATCGTCAAGGCACAAAACCAGTTCATGCTTAACCTTTTTATTTCCGTTTCCTTCCTTTTCCTTTTCTTCTCTCATTCTTCCTTTCTCTCTTCTCTATTTTCTTGTGAGATAATTAAAAACATTCTAAGAGGCTCTGGAAACAATGAAATACTTGATAGTCATGGGTTTCTCACTTCTCCTCAATTCGTTGCATGAAATAATTACTATGTGCCCTAATGCACACAAATAGCTAAGGAGAATCTGCCCAAACACCTGTAAAGGATAGGTGTCTGTTCATAGGCAAGTAGATTAAGTGGCATGATGCCTGCAAAGCAAAGTTAACTGGAGTTGTGTTTTCCTCCCTTCCTTCTAAATAGAATAGCTCGACATCAGCAATATTATTTTGCCTTATTTGTTTTCCCCAAAGTGCCAAATCCATTACTGGTCTGTGCAGGTGCCAAATATGCTGACAAACTGTTTTTGAATATCTTTTCAGCCCCCTCCACCTTTATATGCTGTAAATCTTTGTAATGAATACTCTACTAATGATATAGATGACTGAATTGTTGGTAACTATAGTGTAGTCTAGTGAAGATGAATTGTGTGAGTTGTATATTTTACTGCATTTTAGTTTTGAAAATGATTCCCCCTGCCACTTAGAAACAGCTGAAATTTGACTTCCTTGGGAAAACACTAGCATAATGCAAATAAGACTGATTTCCCCCCTCTAAGTCTTGTCATATTTGATAAGGAACATTAATCCCCCTGGAAATAGATTAGTAAGATTTCTAATGTTGTGTAGCAAACCTATACTTTTTTTGTATTTTAAAATTAATGTGAAATATGCATCATACACAATATTCAATCTAGATTCCAGTCCATGGGGGGATTTTTTCCTAATAGGAATTCAGGGTCTAAACGTGTGTATATTTTGGCTCTTCTGTAAATCAAATGTTGTGATTTTTATATTTGTTTCGTTTTGTCTGTGAACTGAATAATTTATACAAGTACACACTCCATTGAGAAACGTTTTGTTTTTTGCTCGTTTGTATCGTCTGTGTATACAAGTAAAATAAACCTGGTAAAACGCTAACTATGGTGTTTGAAAGCAGTTTACAGTTTGAAAATAATTATTATAGGTAATTACTTTTAAGGGTTAAGGAAGATTAGCCTGTTCCTACTGATAAGGAGTAGAATGTTTATTTGGAACCACCTCTAACTTCCTCCTTGAATTTGCTTTATAGCACTCTCAGGAATTGTGATTTCCTTTTTATTTACAGTTATTTAGTTCCCTGTGAGTCAAGTTTCTTTTTATTGCGCTCATACCCCCAACCGAAAATATACCTACTTTCTTCATATATGTCTCTGATTCTCTTTGAAGTTAGAAATGAGGCGAACAGGAAAAGTAGGGTCTTTAAATAAGGAGTTAAGAATTTCTTTAAATTTCACAAAGTAAGGTGGGAAGTATTGGATGAGAGTAGGCTGTAATTTTAAAGCATGGTAAGACAGGCTGTTGACGACAGGTGTCAAAAATTTTGGTCTTACTAAGAGGCCTTGGAGGTAAATGCAAACACAGAATGGACTACATTTCTTGAGTGAATGGTTTTGGGGGATCATGAGGGGTGGGGTAGAGAAGGATCCATAGAACAAATCCAAGGAAGAGCCATTTGTAAGCACTGAGTTTAAAACTTGTTTTGGGAGGTGTCTGGAGGCTACTTAGCTATGTCACTACTTTACAGGAGTTCCCGTGCCAGTTCCCACCCAGACCAGATTCCCATCCCTTGAGAACAAATATAAAAATGAGAAATTTCCGCCTGGGGGCCGCTGCGCCTTAGGCAAGGATTCCGCAGAGTTCCACCTTCACCTGGTAGAGAAGTGGGGTTTTTTGGCCTTTGGTCTCTAAAGAGGTGATTCAGGATAGAGTCAGAAAAATGGTTTAACGTTCTTGCTTAGTCTGGGCTGGCCTCAGGTTACCGGACAAAATCTAGAGACTGTCCTGTGTCCCCTTTGCAGTCTGACAGACGTAAAGAACCTTCAAAAATCCAATTAAAAAGAAAATTCGAGGAAGGATGAAACTGACTTGCCTTCCCTGGACAATTCCGCCACTAGACGGCGTTCCGTGGAGTTTTGTCTGCCACACAGAAAAGCGATGACTGATTCTCCTTTGTGTTTCCTTCTCCTTTCCACATCTAAGAACTAAAGAAGAGGACGAAAAGTACAAAACACGGTGCATGTGTTAGCAAGTGAAGTGGAGTAATGCATTCACGTAATCACTCACCCGACCAGGGCTGAGCTCGTGCTACCTGGCCACCTAGTCGCTCTGAGGAGCAGGCGCACGTGCGGTCGCGGGGGAGAGGCTGCGGGGGCAGGGGTGGTAAGAACTCGAGGCCGCGGGGGGACGGCGCTCAGCTCTGGGACCCGAGGCCTGGTCGCGAGAGCGCGCGCGCCTGGCGGGGCCCTCAGCCCTCGGGGCAGAGTCCCTGAGAGCAAAGGAGTGGTGTCATGTGCGTAAACGAAGCTCTTGGGAGCTGAGGATAGATTTCACAGGAACGTAGTGCCTTGTACTGAAAGACGCGCTTTAGCTGCTATTAGGAAGTTCTTTAAAAAAATTGGGGAGGTCGTTTCCCTTGCAGCTCTGCCACCATCTGCTGTGTGGACTGAGTCAGCGTGAGGTAAATTTGCAGCCACGAGCTCGGAGGCAGTGTGCTTTCTTGTCCCCTTAAAGCATCATCATTTCTCCTCGCTTCCAAGGAGTCTTGGGTGTCTAGTGAAGTGATACTGTCAATGTGTCTGAGAACCTGCTTCTGTTCAAAGGAATCAGAGTTTGGTTCCGGGAGGCCTAGTGGGAATCAAGGTTCGCGTCCCAGGCTGGAATCCAAGTTGCCTTGTATGTCCGTGAGAGTAGGGGGTCAGTTTAAGGACCCAGAGAGGTGGCGAATCCTCCCTGTAAACTCAGATTGCCTCAGTTTTCAACGGTATATTTGCGGGGGAAAAAAAAAGAGAGCGAGAGAGAGAGAGAGAGAGAAAGGAAGGAAAAAAGAAGGTGAACGTTTGGCTCTTGCTTTCCCGCCACTCACAATCCCCGCCATTTTAACTCAGTTTCAGTCTCACTTGGACCTGAGCGCGGCAGCCGGCAGGTGCCCAGCGCTGCAGGGTCCGGGTTCCTAATCTTTCAGGCGGACGCAACCCGGTCGGGGTGGACCCAGAAGGATCAGAGCGCTCAGTGGGCGAGGGTGGCGGCGGTGGTCCTGCACTGACAGGCAAGGCCGCAGCTTGGTTCGGGCACATCGGAGCCCAGGCCCGAGTTTCGGGAGTCCTGGACCCGCCGCGGAGCCTGGGCCAGACTCCCTGCTTGGCTGCTGGGCGTGCGTGCTGCGGTTGCCCGGCTTTCCCAGCCTCGGGTCCAGGTCCAGGTCCAGGTCCAGGTCTAGACCCAGGGTCAGGCCGTGGAGCCGGGCCGAGGTCCAGGTGGGACTCTTGAGGAACAGCCCCCTCTACCCTACGGGTCGGGAAGGGCTTTCGGCCTAGGCGCTGGCCTGCGGGTGCTGCCTCCCTGCTGTTCCTGGAAAGCCAGGCCTGGCAACTGAAAAGCAGTTAGGACGTGAACAGACTTTTTAGGGCTAGCTGAAATTTACTGACCAGTTTAAAAAAAAAAAAATCAGTTGGTTTCTGTCTTTTTAGAACTGACTTACATCACCGGAGTTTTGAAAATGTAGTATCTTAAGGTCTATGGAGGACTTCCTGAAGCCCTTTACCTCTTGAGTTATATTTTCTTATACATCCCACTGTTAAAACTCTTTGTGACTCAGCTCTTTTTGTCATATTATTTCTTATCTCTTTAGCACTGAGGTTTTAGGGGATGTTCTACTTTCTGTTTAGGATGCAAGTTAGGAACAAAAGCTTTGTTGAATACAGAGGCCATTTACATTCCCAGAAAACTTAAACTGCTTATTTTAAAATATCACTTCAAGTGATATTTTAACAATGTGTATATGTTCATAAAAGATTTTGTGAAAGAGTCAATCTGTCCTCAGGTACAGCACCTTTTTGTGTGTGGCTATGAGTTATCATGTAGGCATTTTGGCCATGGGATAGGGGAAAAAAGTAAAACCTCGTGATCCTGTAATAATTAGGCTTATCTAGATTTCCTTGAAAGAAACAATAACAATAAACGTATGCATAAAGAAAACAGCAATATAAAAGCCTAATGACTCATTTAGATTTTTAAAAATGTTTAATTTATTCTGGTATGTTGGCAATTGGTTGATAAATTTTGATATCTGAAAGAATAATATTTTAACCTAATATCAGTGAAATCAGTTTTTACAAAGGTAGCCAAGACTTTTTAAGCAAGTTGAATCTGTGTGAATTATTGACGTGATGGTCAGAGGTATTCTTTTGTCAAAACAAGAATCTCTCAGAGATGACAGACAAACCAGGAGAAAATTTCAGGCATTGCATTATACTTGGTTTAATTCAGCTGTTTGAGACTTATGTGTCTTCTCGCTTCCTGTCTTCCGCTTGCGGGTTAGGTTGCCACACACTTAAAGATATATTCACTTGAAATAAAACCCCACTGCTTTCACAATAAAGTAAACTTGATGGTGTACAAGTCACTGGCCTCATCTGAGCTGATTATATCTGCCTTGCATGTATTTTACACCCACAGTATGGTTTGCAGCGGTGTTCAAGGCATGGCGTGAAAAATTTGATTTGAATAGTTCCATTAAAGCAATGAAAAAAGAATCCATGGCTTAATAGAGCTTCTAGTGATAGCTCCCCTTCTTACTATGCTAACTCCGAAATAAATATGTAATCTAGTATTAGGAACATGGCATTTAGAAGACCCTTGCTGGTAATATTTAATTTAATAAACATACTAGCTGTGACATTGTTAATGCAATGAAGCTTGTACCACAAGCTGATTCTTTCATATTGTTTGACCTATTACTTATCACTAGATTCCTTATAAACATGTCCTGCAATTTATAACTTGAATTATGTTTCAAATTATTTTGGACTTCAACTCTTTAAAAATACCTGCATAGTAGGCACTCATTTTATATACAAAGCTTTTATGCTTGTGTATCATGACACACCTTTTACAAGGAGGAAGAGGGAAATTTGGAGGGAAAAGCAACTCTGTATGTATGCCCCTGATTGTTTTAACCAATATAGTTCTTTACGCCAATACTAATAGGAAAAAAATATATGATTACATTTTGGGGCAAGAGTTGGCTTTATATTTTTGATGGTTATATTGGATTTTAATAAACATCCAATTAATTGAACTTTCTTGTTAAAAAATAAAACAAAGCTTGCTTTATATATTAGATTTACTGCCTTTATTAGGTTTACTTTGGTTTAGATTTAGTACATCTCTTCTTGGTAAAAGTGTACTGTATGTGAAAAAGCCGTTTCAATTCAAACTTACCATTTCAGGTGTCTAAAAAAAGAAAACAGTTGACAATGTTTTCTCAAACCACAGGGTCTTTCTAACTCACATTTAAACTTTCAAGATGTATTTGTCATTTATTTTGCCATTCCTAGTATGAAAGGAAAGGAAAAGCATTTTTCAATCTTGGGAAAATTCAGAAGCAATTTTTTGGTTCTCAGTTAATTCAGTTTCATCTTAAAAGTTCAAATTTAGCAAAGCACATGTTCCCTTGTTCATGCCAAGTGTGATAAAAACTAGTCGAAAAATAAAACCATTGCAAACAAGTAGAGCACTGCACTTCACTGCACAGTATACAGGCCACATCGTTTGTAGGTCTGATGTCACTGCCTGCTGGGCTGCCATTTGTGAGCACATATAAGTCAGCCTTGAAAAGTTGATAGAAGACTCACTATTTCAGATATGTGTGTTCAAATTGTTTTTTAAATATCCTCTCTGAATAGTGATATGCACACTCATGAACATTCAACCATTTGCCATCTTCTATCAGTAAAAGGTTATGCATTAGAAGACAATATTTTATTTCAATGCATCTAAAATATGCATAGCAAAGTTCCCTCTGTCTTTTTGTAATGTAGTCAAATTATAGACTACTTTGTGGAATTATAATATAACTTTCTTCATTAGTTTAATCACAGTATTTACAGCATTAATCTAACACACATTTAGTTTAATATTCTTGAACTTCATTGAATAAAATACACATGCTTTTTATTTAAATTCAATTTAGGCATTCTGCAATTAACACGGACATTTTATGGGAACTTTTTAGTTATGGTATAGATTTCTATTATTTTATATGGTTTGCTCAGTTGGGAATTTACTGAAGGCCAAAGCATTATTTCTGATTAAAATTGTTTCAAAAGTGGCTAGTACTTTTATAACCTGATGTGCTTTTGAATTGAAAAATTATAATTTTGGATATAGTTTTACCAAATAATAGCAATGTTTACTACTTAGTACTTTCCTTTGAAAAAAACAAAATATAATGAGGACTTAATCTTTTCAGTTTACTTACCATTGAATGCTATATATTTGTTCAAATAAAGTCTTTTTTCTACCTCTGTCTTAATTTGCTATTTTTCAAAATGACCGAATTCTTAATAATTCTTCAAGCTTATTCACCTTTGGGATTCATTCTTAATTTATGCTCACATTCTGCTTTGTTCCTGTGGAGAAAGTCAAAGAAACATACTGACTTCCTCCTCAACAAATTTGTTCCTTCCTCCTCCAACTCTGCTCTCTTCCTGACACTCATTTTGCCCTTGTTGACTCTCTTGCCAACAACTTTTTTTAATATCTACTTTTTTTTCTCACACTACCACCCTCAAACTGAATCTTTATCAAATCTATGTCTGATTCATCAGTTTGCTTATTTCAGGTCAGAACTTGTATGCTTTCCCCAAAAGCAACTGTAAAGTTTTGGGGACAAACATCAGATACAGTATGTCTTTTTATTTAGTCCCTTCCACCCATTTAAAAAAATTTTGTGCTTTCCCCCCCTATACATTTCTGTAATTTTATCATCTCCCTATACTCACTTTTCTATTGTCTCATTTCTCTTTGTATTTGTGAAGGGACAACCTAATATTTTTGTCTTTTTTGTGGTATTTCTGTACTCTTTACACATAATATTCTTAGCTATGTGAGGTACTGCATTTATCTCTGATTTCTTTTGTATTTAGGATCCATCTGTCAATGCTTTTCTTTGATCTGTTTCAATTCAGCTTTCTGATTTGCACAGATATTACAATCTTACTACATTCACCTGTGCACTGTTAACCAAATGCAATGGCCTTATTATGGACTAATCTTTATTCTCTTAGCTATTTTAAGTCATAATTAGTCCTTTGGATGATTCAGAATCACATATTCTGCAACTCTTTCACTTTCTCCTTCCTTCCAGCTTTTCTTTCATGGCTGTTTGCTTGCTTGCTCATTCATTCATTCGCTTGTAGTTTATATAGGATTTGCTTTTCACAGGGTATGTCCTGATGTTTGTCTCTTCTAAGAAAATTTGCTAGACATATTACATGTAATGTGGAAGAATAGGTGGAAGAAAGAAGATTTTTCTTAATGCATATTTTCAGCCCTTTGCCTGATAGTCTTCACCTACTTGATTTTTATTTCTTGTAGCCTGATACATTTTAATTGACTCTGTGTATTTTCCTATTGACAGTACTTGCTTGAGCCATCTGATACCTAGTCATATTGTCTTTATTCTTAACCTAAATTTAACATGATGAAGACTAATATGGAGTTTTGAAAAGTTAATTTTCTTAATATTAATTTAACTCCTGATGAAGACTACAATATGAAGTACACATGCCAACATCATTAAGGCAGGGATTTTTATGGCCATGCAATTGTATATAGTCTGTTATTAACTAAATGCATCACTGTTAGCTCTTTCTCTACAGAACCACAAAAGAAAGGAAGGAAGGAAAGAAGGAAGGAAGGGAGGGAATAAAAGAAAAAAGAGAAAAAAAAGAACAGAACTGAACTTAAGAGATAGAGGCCTTATAGTCATGAGAAATATAGCTTTACTTGAAACATTTTTTTTTTTATCATATTTTAACTAATACATACACTTTTTATTTATTTTTCTTTTTTTTTTGAGAGAGAGAGAGAGAGAGAGAGAGAGAGAGAATTTTTTAATATTTATTTTTCAGTTTTCGGCGGACACAACATCTTTGTTTGTATGTGGTGCTGAGGCTTGAACCCGGGCCACACGCATGCCAGGCTAGCGCGCTACCACTTGAGCCACACCCCCAGCCCCTGAAACATTAATTCTTTAGGAAACTCTTTGTTGCTAAATTTAAACCTAAAGCTACAAACATTTTAAAATTTCATTTTCAATTCTTTTTGCTTTAGAGTTAACTTTCAAAATATAAGTGTGTATGTGTTTGTGTGTGTGTGTGTGTCTGTGTGTGTGTGTCTGTGTGTGTGTGTGTGTAGCAACATGATGAGTCTGGAACATAAAATCAAGAGAAGCAAGCAGGAGATTTTTGACACTCCTTATGTTTTGCTGCCCTAGATACAGCACTCTTTGGGGATCTCCTATTGGAGCTTGAAGAAGTACCCTTTTTTGTGTGTGGTGTTGGGGATTGAACCCATGGTCTTGTGTATGTAAGGCAAGCACTCTGCTGAGTTATATCCCTAGCCCCTAAAGAAGTACCCTTTTAATAGTCTCTCACTTTTAAAAACAAGTTTCTACTTCCTAATGTTTAGAATCAAAAGTCTTTATTGTAACTTGATTTGCATGCAGTATAATTTTCAGTTGAGTAATAAATTGGTGAAAATACACCAGATCAAAGAAATGTTCATATAATGTGACTGAAAATTGTAGTTGGAAATTTAGTACCTAAGATGCCTATATTAAATCTGTTTTAAAAACGTAAATCTCAAAGGAACTTGTCTCCTTTGGTATAGTAGAAAACAGTGAAAATAGTCAACTCTTCATGATGATCTTCAGTATATTCATTTGTAAATTGAAATTATAATTAAATATTTCAGTTATCTTCCAGCTTTAAAGAACTGCTTTTCATGGATTTCTAAATTTCTAGGTAGTTTGAATTCAGATGTTCTGAGCTAAGGCAGAACTACCTGTAGAGAAATGGCTTTCAAAAAAAATTTTTTTAAAAAACTGGAACTCAAGAGTTTTATGTGCACACATACACAAATAAGTTTCACAAAATAATATATATTTTTTTACTACATTCAGCATACTGTTATGTTTTCTTTTATGTTCAGTTTCATTGAAAAGAAAATCCTGATTAAGACTTAGTAAATTTATTTCATGATTCTTGAAAGGACAGTGGCTCAAAGTTTGAAATATATTGCTATAGTGATACTGTTAACTTGACTAGACTAGACTATACTGAGTTTCCTCCTATATCTCTACATATGCATTTTAGTATTTCTTTTCTAGAATGGTAGAATATATAAGCAAAAGTGAGTGAATCACTCATTTAATAAATTACTTGAATGTATATAGTAATGAAGAGTAAATGGGTGTAAAGATGGAGAGATGGTCCTTTTCAATGTTCTTTCCATTATGATTTGCAAGCCTTTCTTTTTGTTTTTTAAGGCAGCCTTCTTTGAGATTGCTATAATTAATTTAGGATTTAACTTTTTTTTTTTTTGTATTTCATATCTCTCTCAGGCATTTCATCATTGTCTCTGTCTCTCTCTCTTTCACACACACATTCCAAGCATGTTGATTTATTGAAAATCAAGGTCACTTCTGTCTTGGGGATAAACAGGCCCATACTTGCTTGTGTGGCTCTTTGCATGAACTTCCTTCTTCCTTCCTGACACTAATGCATAGCTGGATGGAGGGAAGAGATGGCAGCTCTTCTCATACCCTCTTCATCAGTGGCTTTACATCAGAATCACCAAGGGAGTTTTAAGAATTCTGACACACAGATTTGTGCCTCATACCAAATACATCAAGATGAGACTATCTGGTAGTGAGATCTGGGCATCAGTACTTTGAAAAGATTCCTAGGTAATTCTAATGTGCTTCAAAGTCTGGGAACCATTCTTCCTGATTTTTTGTTTCATTTGTTTTCGTTTTTGTAGTGAAAGAGTTGAGTTTTTTTTTTCTTTTTTGTTTGTTTTAACAGCTGGTAATAATGGCAAGTTGTATCTGTCCATTATAATTTTATGCCTAGGAACTATGGTAATGGGAACTCTCTTTAAATAAACACGTAGACTTAAAAATAATTATTTTCAAATGACTTTCTATATTTTTAAGCATGTGTCAGCATAGTTACCTTTGAGAACAGGCGGTCTATCCTCTTGACTATAAGGGAAAAGTGACCTAAAGTACTCTGTGTTCTCACTTTCTATATGGAAGAAGGCATTTATACTCTGCCCCAAGTTTATTATGATGAAATACGATGATAATTACATTCTCTTGAAATCGTACAATCATCCATAAGGTAGCCTTTATCTGGATAAACCGAAACTGGAAGATTTTCTGGAAATGTTGCAAGTTTGCCATGTCATTCTTCACAGAATAAATACCAGATTATCTAGAATAGTCTAATCCATAGAACAAATACAGAGTTCTAAGGGTGGGAAGTCAGTTTGGGCAATGCCAGCCATATACCATATTTCAACTCAGTTACAGAGGGATACCTCTAAATATGTAAGATGGAAAAATTTCTGCTCCTCAATATAGGCAAGATACAAGCAGCTTACTTACTCAGATAGCTCTATAGTCCATGGCATCCTCCCAAGTCATTCATTTTTAAGTGGTTGCATCCATTTGAGTCATGATGTGAACATCACCCAGCAAACTGAGTCACAAATTAATTTACATATTGAAGAAATTGTTGTATTCAGTATACTGTAACAGAAATATCAGAGAAATTTTGCATTTGTATTTTGTTCAGATTCAGAATCCACTCCAGTGTGGAAGGTTATCCCTAGGAACAAAAGTTAAGATCAATTGATCATATATTACATAATATTCATACTTGGAAGCAATATAACATCCAGAAGGGAGGATGAAATGAGATCTATTTGCTGAGAAATATGATGTAGAACATGAAAATTCACCAGTGGTAGGTCTCAAAATGGCTAAAACTCAAAAGGTTGAAAGGAAAGGCTTGGTTAAATATATTTTGGATGTTGCTAAGCTTAAATTATTAGAAAAATCTTATAGTTTTTGTTACATACAAACAATTTAGTTTGTATAATCTTTAGAAACTGTAGATTCTGGGATTTAAAAATAGAAAAGAACCAACTAGAAGAAAAGTTAAAGTTAACTGATTCTACTTATTTCTTACACTGCTTACTAGCCACTTCTCCAAATGCAATATTTCATCTGTGCTGGAATTAAGTATTTATTAATGTTCAAGAAACTAGGCAATCATATGACTGTGGCTTATTATAGCTCACTCCTAAATTTAGAAGTGTTCCCAGATTGAAAAATGGTAAAAGGATTAGAGAACAAATGCACAGTTTTTAATTTATGCCTTGTTTTGGATTTTTTATGTATTTTGAAACTAGATTTCATTATCCCAATCATTCTATACAGAACATTTTAAAAGAGCAAAGTTAAGTTGTGTTATAATTTTTTGAGGTCCCCAAGTTTTATTTGTATAAATTATACTTCTTTTGTTTGTTCAATTAGCATCCTTCCTAGAAATCATATATAGTAATTTTTAAAAATATTCAGGCATTTCCTATTTCTGAATTATTTGTGTACATCATCTGCCAATCTTTTGATTACTTTTACTTATCTTTACTTGGGAAATTTATGGTAAAGATGAAATCTGTTTATTGTGAATGCAATTTGGCAAGAAGGAGGCTATAACTACTTCTAAAATGAAATCTTTGGACTAATGGATTTTATTTATCCTTGTTCTTTTTGCAGTCCTAAACTATAATTAAATGAAAAGGTTTTAGCTTATATATTTTGTTTTGTCTGGGTTTTGCAAACCAAAAGCAACATTGTGATAGTTCATTTCATAGAAGTTCTAATAAATATATCCTTACCATAGTGAACTATTCAAGATAGAAATACCTGAACTGAGGATTTCTTTGCCATTAGTTCAAAAGTCTCTTTGGTAGATTTCCAAACTGAATGTCCCACCAATTTTCTCCTGTGGGGATTGCCAGTTGAGAGAAAAGTAATAAGACAGTGTTACATCCCTGTTTTATGTCTTTTTTGAGGGTTATTGTAGCTTAGGTGAAGTCTTTTTTTTCCCTTTCCTACCTCTGTTGCTTTCACAACTTTGAGAAATGAAAAGTAGCTTCTCTTTACAGAAAAAGAAAAGCTGGGGATTCTTTATCTAAGATAAACTGATGTAACAAAAATCTTCCATATGGATTTGGTTACTATTTTAATTTAGTGAGCCTTTGTTGATTGCAAACCATGACTGAGGCATTATATAAGGCACCAAGGAGATTGTAGGATGAATTAAATACAGATTCTCTGTGATTTGTGGAAACACTATACTATAAGATCAAAAGTGATGAGCCTTAAGTTCTAGAAAGAAGCTCAGGAGAAATCCCTTGGGGGAGCCTAGGGGAGATTTTGATTATGTTCTGTGAGGAATCTTGGAAGGCTTTATGGGTGGGGTACTTGTTGAGGCTGGACTTTCAGAAGTCCAGGAGGAGGCTTTCTGTACAAAAAACAAAAAAAAAAAAACAACAAAAAAAAACAAAGTCATAAACAAAATAAACAAAAAGGAGGTAGGGGAGCAAAGACCTATTTAAGAAATAGATAATGTTTTTGATGCTTGTGAAATAGAGTATGTAGGGAAGGTAAAAGGAAGCTTAGAAAGGCTAGGTGCCATAAAATGGAATATTTTACATATTAAGACAAATTGGGCCTCTAATTAAATAGAAATAAGTGATAAATTTAATTGACTGTTACTATGAATTCTATTGGAAGAAGCCATGTTATTATTGTACAATTTACATATTCCACTTAACAACATGTTTAGACTATGTTCATAACTCAGTACACTTTGAGCTCACTCTATTTTTTTAAAATATTTTTTTAAGTTGTAGTGGGACATAACACCTTTATTTCATTTATTTATATTTATGTGGTGCTGAGGATCAAACCCAGGGCCTTGCACATGCTAGGCAAGTGCTCTACTGCTGAGCCACAACCCCAGCCCTAAACTTACTCTTTTTAACATCTTTATTGTTAGGTTATATGAATAAACCATATCTATCATAACCTGTCCCTTTTTATGTGCACATAGCTATTCCTATATTTTTGCTATTATAAAAATTGGTACAGTAAACATATCCCTTTCTATACTTATATTAGATATTGTGTTAGCTTTTCATTGCTATGACAAAATATCTCAGAAAATCAACTTCAAGGAGGAAAAACTTGATTTAGCTCAGTGTTTCAGTTCATAGTTGCTTGCCCCCTTGCTTTGAGCCTTTAGCAAGGCAGCAAATTATGGTGGGGAGCATATTGTGGAGTCAGGCTGTTCACCTCTTGGCCATGGTGAAGCAAAGAGACAAAATGAGGAAGGGGCTGGGGACATGATATAACTTTCCAGGGCATGTCCCCACTGACCTACTTCCTCCAACTAGGCTCCACCTCCTACAGTTTCTACCACTTCCCAAGAGGCCATTCAATTATGAACCCATCCATGGATTAACCCAGTGATAAAATCAGAGCCCTCCTGATTCAATCACTCCCCTTTGAACACTGCTGCATTTGGGGATCAAGTCTTCAACACATGAACCTTTGAGGGACATTCCAGATCCAAACTCTTACAGATATCTATAGGATAAGTTACTAAAAGTGGAATTTCTGGGCTATGGGCTGTATCAATTTATAGTTACTCCATAAGTATATGAAAATTTGTTCCCCCACCCTCTCACCAGTTCCAACTATGTCAGTCTTGACATAATTAAAAAGTTGATCTTATTGATAAAATTAGAAATTGGCATCTAAAATAGGAAGGTATCTACTAACTAGGGAACATATAACTCTGGGGAACGTGTAATCTTGGGATGGGATGGTATAAGTGAAAATGTATAGGAATAATGTGACATGCCTTTCTAGATTGTTAATTTTTCTTAAGAATTTGGCAGGAGTGCATGTTATTTTCATTTTAAAACAAGCTGAAAAAATTGAAGGTAGAAAGTAGAATTTATATGATTTCTTTTTTATTAATTAAAAGAACATTTATTCTATTTTATTATTATATTATATATACTATAGCACCTTGCATAATGGAAATTACTATATAAATTTTATTGCTGCATTATCCAACAACTGTTATAAAACAAAATATCTCTTCATTGCTCATCCCAAACTACCAACATATAAGAAAAAGGAATGGCAAATTTCTTATTTAATATTCTGATAGAATTGTTGCATACACAAATCAAAAGATATCATAGAATAGAATTTAATTATCACCTACTTTTATTTCTTTTTTCTTTTCAAGTTGTAAGCAAACTATTACATTGCTTAAAAAAACTTCATTATGATATGTTCCTGTACATTTCACTTTTAATTTAAAAAGTAACTTTTTATTTTATTTTTATTTTTTGTGGTACTAGGGATTAAACCTAGGGGCAATTTATCACGAGATACATACCCAGTTCTTTTTACTTTTTATTTTGAGACAGGGTCTTGCTCAGTTGCTGAGGTTGGCCTTAAACTTGCTGTCCTCCTGCTTTAGCCTTCTGGTTGCTGTGATGGTGTGCACCATCACACCTGACAAAAAGTAATTTTTTAAACTTTAAATGTCAATTTTTTTTTCTGATACTTCATAATTTACACTACTTTCTTAAGTGGTAGATGAATTGAGGGGAATAGAGGCTAATTCAGATTTAAGATACATTCAAAAGAAAGAAGCAGTAACAGATAATTATTAATTTTTGTCTATTATTCCCAAGGAGGATGGTAATCATCAGACTTTAAATATTTTTAACAATGAAACTCTTAAAACTCATTGGCATGCAGAATATAAAATATGTAATGTGGATCTGTTCTGTAGGAGCAGGGTGAGAACCCTGTATTTCTGTTCACTGGCCCTCTCCATCTATTCTTCCAGTGATTCCTGATATTGTTGTCACCAACAATACCTGGGTTATTGGGAACATAGTTCAGGAAAAATACTTTCCTTGGTGATCTTAATGTCTCTGCTTTTCATGAGACACTAGATGAAAATCTTTAGATTGCTTCAATCGATTGATCTATATTCTACTTTATTCTAGGAAGATGATAAATCCTGTATTTGAAATGTGAAATTATAAAGGCTCAAGGTTTCAGGTTTCAAGTTTCTTGGCTGAAGCAAACAGGTCTTGGAACTTCATTTTTTTCATATTCATTATTGATTTACATCATCAGGGCAGACATAATAATAAATTAAGCTACCTCTGTGCCTCTGTGACCCTCAGAGAAACTTCTTATTGTGATTCCTGGATCCTTTCTCTTTTGATTTTTTTTTAAAAATATGAGACTTTAAAGAAATGTTACACTTGGGGTTGGATGCTTTGGACTCTGCTCCTGACTTCTAGGATTTTCTAAGCCAAAATAATCATTCTGATGGAAAACTTAAAAAATAACTCACTACATTTTATGATAATGTTTGTCTTTGTAATAATCATGTGTTTCTGAGATATGTTAAATCTTCTCTGGTGATTCTAAAGGTATATTTATTCCAGACATTCTGCCTTAAATAATGTCTTATAATAATGCTGTATTTTATGATCATGCTGCAGATAGATCTAGCAATAAGGCTGAAAAGTAATGGCATGTGGTAAAAGCCACTAATGCCAGTACTGCACATTAAAATTTATGATTAAGATGAGCACAATGGGTTATGCCTGTAATCCAGCTACTTGGGAAACTGAGGC